ACATCAATGTGGCATGTAGCCAGACCAAGGAACTTAAAAACACTCTCAGATCTTGCTATCTGAACATAGCAGCAGTGCTATGTTCAGAAGAATGCTGATGACCAGCACTTCTTTGCAAAGATTTGTAAGACTGTCACTGACACCACAGGCTGTGTGTGTCCACCGCAGCTTTTCAGCATGCCTCTCCTGGGCTCATAAAGTTAACATTCCTTTCAATCAGGACACAGAGAGGAGTTAATGACTCATAGCTCCTACAGGTATGGAGTACTTAAAGAACTGAGTGCCATGCCATCTCTTGTAATTATGTTGATAGGTTTGACAGGCCTAGAAACTTTAACAACCTCTTAAAAGCAGACTTCCTGAAGTAAACAAGAAGCTGTTAACTAAAGGGAAATAGAAGAAGCAAAATGTAATTGCCTATTGCTATGCCCCTTATTTCCTGCTTTGTAAGGCAGCAATTCTTCCATATATACCTTAGTTCTACAAAGCAATGAGATCTGATGACAGCTCTGATTACCCAAAATTATGTTCACTGTCTTATCCTGATTTTCTGATGATTATAAACCAATAGTCTGATGTTGCACACAGCTGGGGATATTCCCAAGGACAACATGCAATTCTGATTGTCTTAGTGGAAAAAAATGTAGTAAAAATCTATAATGATTCTCCACAAAGCAGTTGACACAGGGAGCATTAGGCTGGATACCAGAAAAACCTGTCTTTTATGGGATTCACTCTTTTACATATGGAAGCATGTACTAGATCATTCTCCATTCTCTGAAGAATATCAGAGGAACTCCATTGTGTCAGGCATCTAAATTCAGCTCTTTGTTTTCTATGCAAGTGATGCTTCAGAATATTCAGCACAAGCCCAAAACATTTTTTTAAATGAAAAAAGATGGGTTTTTAATTCATGAAATTGATCGCCGTGGTTTCAAATAAGTATTGCCATCTAAATTGAGCTATAGAAATTAGAGTGACCAAAAGTGTCAAAGGAAAGAAGAAAGCTATTTCTTTGTTGGCACTCATGTGTATTGTTAGCCAAGCTGGTATCCATTTATTGGAAAAGGAAAAGGTATCTTTTCAAAGGATAAGAAACTAGATAAGAAAGAATATAGCACTTGCTCCTTAGAGCAAACTACATTTGCTTTCATTTCTCATGGTAGTAATAGTCCTCAGGAAACAATGAGCAAGAATGAATGATTGTCCCCCAAATTCAAATTGTATGAAGAAAAAAAAAATCTCTTTTTTTTTTTTTTTTGATTAATCTACAGAGTAAATTCCTGTGATAAGACTAGACTATTTCAAGCAAAATTTCCCCCCTCCTGGGCTACTGCTTCTGTAAGTTTCCTGTAATCTGTCATTTCAGTTTTTGCAACATTCTCTGCCCTCAACATTGTTTTGTAATAGCAGTGGCATGGTAGACCTTTCTAGGCATTAAAATTCAAATGAACATAGCAGCCATCCCACTTTGCTTCATGACTGCTGAATCCAGAGTTTTTGAGACTAGAGAAACATTAATTGAGAAGAGTTGTGTCTAAGTGTAGCCACTTGTGTAGCTGTGGCCAGGCTCTCTGTTGGCTTCTCCTAACATAAGGTAGCACACAGGAACCTGAGTGGCAGAAGTTCTGCTACAGAGGTGTTGCTAGATAAAAGGTGGCAACGAGCTGCTCTTTCTCTCCCATGATTCGCCAGTGAAAAGCTGTCCAAGAAGTAGCCGGTGCTGGCTGGGGTTAAATGTGATCAAGAGAAAAAGCAGATGCTCTTTTTTAGGATTTGTGCAGTGTTGTCCCCTAAAAAAAATTTAAGAAATGCTCCTTGCCAGTCTACCTCATGAAGAAAGGGAGTGGTAGAAACCACATTTGACTTCCTCTTGAATTCAATACTTTCCTTTGTGTGCGGTAAGCAGCTGGGGCATCTCTTCAGAAGCTGTAAAGAATTTCCTTTTATAGCTAGGAAGTTGGGCAGAGTAGACTATATAGGGGAAATTTTTTTCTTCCGGTGCTAGCCGTAGATATAGCCTTGTGGTTGTGTAGTACAGAGTTTCAACAGAAAGTAACTCAATTATTTCTATCTTCATTTCCACCCACAACTCCCAAGGAATAGTCAGAAGCTTTGACCTTGAATCTGAACCAGGAGTTCCACCTCAGCCAAAAGGTATTCTTTATATTTGGAGTCTCTAGTGAAATATGGAATGATGGAAGAAAAACCTTCCCTCGCAGCTATTTCCTGTGCAAGTTAAAGGCAAACATTGCCATTGATTATACTTTATATAAAGGAACAAGAGTATGAGAATAGAAGGCTTAAAATACAACTTAAATTGACATCCTCTTCACAATAAAAGAAAAAAATTAACTGAATTTTTACTTCTGCACATGATGTGGTATTCTTAAAAAGTCCCAAGAAATGGAGCAACATTTTTAACTTCCAATAATATGCTGCATTCTGTAATACATTTGATATGAGGATCTCAATTTGTTTTACCAATGCTACAGGACTTACTTTTCTGTAGTTCTATATTTTAAATTAAACACTAACAAATAAGATGGAGAAGGCTAAAACAGATTAAATTGCTGCCTCATGAATCAGAAATAATCAGGTAGAGGACACACATTACTTAGCATCCAAGGGCCACATATCAACTTCATAAAATTCCTGTTGAATGTTCCAATTGCAGTCCGTTGATTACAACAGTGCAAGACTTTCCTAAAACAGCGTGGTCATTCATTAGTAAAACCTTCCACAGTCTTCCATACAAAACAAGGTAGACCTTTATGGTGCCGACAGTTACATTATTTCAAGTGAAAACTCAGAATGTAAGAAGACAACAGAGAAAACTAGAAAGAAAGTCTTTAATGACAGCAGATAAAACTCAAGATTGCAAGGGTAAAGGTCTCCTTTAAAACTTGAGAAACCCATCCTGGTATTTTAAAGTAAGGATGACCTAGCTTAGGGAATGTAGAGATTTGAAACAGATTGTGCAACCTTAGAATAACTGAGACTGAAAACGAAGAGAGTTATTGCTGATGATTAGCATTTCACATGTCCTCTTACCTTTAGGAACACAAACAGTACATATAACAGTAAGTCTGATTGCTTGGCAGTAACAGCCACTCTTGTGGTAAGCAAGTGTGATAGTTCTCTGAACTAGCAGCAAACATTTTGCCTGGAGAGGAATGACTGGGAAAATGCCCAAGATACATGCACAGTAAAAAAAAATTGCTATGCTGTTCTAAGGATGCAGTATATTTTCTCATTGTTTTCTGGGGCAGAAACAGGAGGGAGAGATGAAAGTCTTCCTTTACATTCCTTCTAGCCACGAAGAGAAAGTATTTTTAGGACACTCAAATAGCCCCTTAAGTGCAACTCAGCTGCTGATAAATGTAACAGACTTTGGTGATCAAATGAACACATAAAGAGTTGGTAGAAAACTGTAAATTACTTTATGAGAGATTCCAGTATTTTTAATATTGTGTTTAGCACCAGAATACTAAGTTAAACAGCACCCTAGAGTAGATGCTCATTAATGATAGCTAAAGTGTCAAATAGAAAAAAGAAGGGTTCTTAGTGAATTACTTTGCATATATGAAAATAAGGCTCCCAGTTTCAAAGGTAAACTTTAATAGAAAGTGCCAAGAAAATAGTGAAAATGTCTGCAGCTTATATGTTGAAGGAATTGGGATTTTCTATGAATTAAATGCACAAGAATCTGGATTTCCCTAATTCTATTTTTATTGCAAGCAAGGAGAAAAATCTTGAAAGCAATAGCTCCATGAATAGAAATGAATAGGAATGGGGTGGGTAAGACCAGAAAAACAAAAGTGATATCTTAGAAGGTAAGAATTATTAGGATAAAATGAGGATTATAAAAGTAAAAGAAAAAAAAGCTAGACCTCACAAATAGTATAAAAATAAATAGAAAAAAAAACTTCACTTAATTTCTTGTCTTTATAGCCTAACCACCCCATATTTCCTTTTCTTAGTTAGATTCTTGTTTGGAAAGGTAACTGAGGCCCTGAAGGAGAGGTAACTTCAGACAAGCACATATTATTATTAAAAGTAAACACTAGCTTCAGAGGCTCTAAAAGCACAAATTCTTGCATGTTTTGAATAAATATATTAATGAATGAATTCAGAATTAATATATTCCTAGCTAAAAGTTTCATTAACTTTATGTTATTTGAGTAGCAAATAACTGAAAATTAGAAGTAGATTTCTATTATTTACAAGTTGTGTATTTCTTGATCTTGACAGCACTGGTAAGAAGGTACTAAGATGAAAGAGGTACTTATCCAACTATTCCAGCTTTGCACAATCTAAAAAACAGCAAAGGAAAAATATTGTGATGTTCAGTTCTGAAGTGTAGGTCCTGCTCCAAAGAGTTATTTGAGTACCAATATATCCACACTATTGCAGACTTAATTTTATCTATTGTCTGTACTGGTGTTAATCTTTATTATCTCATCATGCATGAATTTTCCTTCACCTGTATTTAACTGGTGAAGCATACGGATACTTGGATGTGTTAACTTTCTGCTTGCTGCCTTCCAGCTTTTCTTTTTTTCAAACCAGATGTGGAAGCTTAGTGTGTTTTTAATATGACACAATGTGTACTTAAACTGTTTATGAATAGTCTGACATAAGAGGTACATGCAGATCTGCCTCAAGAATATCTTGGGTCCAGTATGTGCTTTCATTCATTTAATTTCAGTGGCAGGTCAGCAGAAAGCAGTAATATAGCAGGTGGAATACCAGCAGCTGGAAAGTGGTTAAAAACAATAAGAAGTCTGAAAAGGAAAATTTGTCAGAAACTCAGAGAGGCTGAACACAGGAACAGCTTTATTCTTTACTGAAACTTCATGATCACTGAAGACGGGCATCTCCAAGATACAGGATACTAATCATACTCAGCAGCCTGGTTTGATAATTTCTAAGATCACCTAGAACAGTTGCAAACTCCGATGGATTTAGCAGTTGAATGAAAGAAAGGGTTGACTTACTGAAGTAAAAGCCTCTGTCTCCACACACAAACTGAAGAGCATCAACCAGCTCAGCACCACAGAGTGTTTCTGGGCCAGCAGCAGCAGAACTGGTTAAGGTAAGCAAACACAGGCCAAGGTAGAAGAAATGAATGTAGGACACAGTGTGCATCTTCACCTGCCAAGGAAGCAAAAGCAGTGTCAGAATTTCCCAACAGAGTCCTAAAGAAAATGACTCCTGCACCCTTGTGAATTGAGAATGCATATGTACTGTAATTTGTTAGACAATAAACACAGTATCAGGAAATGTCTCACCATAATTTTGCAACTGTCTACATATTCTAGTGCATGTATTTTGTAAACTGATTACTTCCTCTGGTGAATATTCTTGGTTCACATTCACACGTACTTAGAGAACCTTGTAGTATCTGTGATTTATGGTTGCTCCTGCAAGAGGAGGATATGGAAGAGTGCAACACACAGGCAAAGGGAAGCCCAGAATAATAAGAGTAATGACGACTAGACAACCTTGAATTGTGTTGTCTGAGATCAGATAGGCTAAGAGGGAATATGACAGTTGCCTGCCAAGGTACTGTGGGAGATGGACGTGACATACGACAGAGAAGAGCTATTTAAACTGAAGAACAGCACTGGCACTAGAATAAATGGCTGTAAACTGGATGGAAGGAAATTTGGCCTAGTAGGAAAAGGGTTCATAATTAGTACTCCATGGTTCTCCAGCCACCTTAAAAAGGGAAGTACGAGGACAAAACAAAAGAAGTTTCAAGGTGGAGCTTGCCAAAGTTACAGAAGAGTTGATGTGGTATATTCCATAGTAGGGGACCGCATTCAATGACTTACAGTCCTCTGTTACTAGCAAGTTAACATTTGGAAACGTTCAAGAAATTAAGAGGAGCACTAGTGGAAATCTTAAGGATTTGTGTTTTTACTTGATGGAAACAGCTATACTTTCACCGACCTTGATTATATCCTCTTAGTCAGGTTTGGCTATGAGGTATAAACAGAGGTGATGATAATTTTTTTCTCACTTACGTTTAGTTACAAATTACCTTTTTCCTGGACTTGTGATTGAAAAAAGGCCAGTCCTCAATGGGTGTAAATTTTCACCATTCCATTTATCCACTTCCTTTTATATTAATTTATATCAACCAAAGGTCTTACCCAACATGTCAAAGAAGATGGCATTTTTTTTTTTTCATACTAGGAAAAGCTATTTATATTTAGTAGCAGGACAGTGAAGAATGTGCTTAATGCATATTCTAAACTGATTTAGATCATTTGCCAAAAATGCTAGTTTTGAAAGGTGTAAATTTGCATTTAATTTCATTTTCTTTCAAGGTTAATATTAGTATTGCAGTCAGGTAAGAAATTACAAATCTTTCTTGCACATACAGTTAACCTTGGCTTAAAACTGCTTTATATTAGCAGACTAGTGCAAAGTAATAGGAGTAAAATGATTAATCTTCCCTAAAGTTTCTTCCAGGGTTTCAGGGACCATTTAATCATACTTTTTCACTGAACTTTTGAAAAACTGATGGAGTTATCTATTGTCTGTTCATATGGGATCTGATCCAGTGAGGTACGGAGCCTTCTCTAGTCAATCGTTTTTGAGAATTCTTATTTTCTTGGCAAGGGATCTTAGCACCTTGCTGGATGAGCCCTCTATTTCAACTTAAGTTGAAGCTGAATAAGAGACAAATCTATAAATAAGTTGGAATTTATTCCCCTTTTTTTCCTGGTATTCCACTGTGAAAATAATGAATAAATCTAAATCCCATTATATATCGTAAAAAGAAAGGATAATTATTTTCCCATTCACAAGATTCTTCAGCCAACTTTGCCATGCAAAAACCAACAAGGTTTAATGCATGGACATGACTTCAATGGCAGATGGAAGAAGATTAGATTATAAATGAATGATGGTAACATGAGGCATTATTTCCTGTAATGATTCCATATCTTAACAACATCAATTTCTTTTTTGCCTTGCCATATTTTTGAATTTCTAAGATAAATGTGATGCACCTGCAGTTTAAGATGGTTCCCAGTTCTGAGGAGGTAAAGCAGAATGCTGTTTAGCACACTGCCTCAGAAGGCTGAAAGACATTACAAATACAAGAACGTTATGTATTTAACAATTTGTTCTTGTATAACATTTGAGCCAGAAATAAACATAAATCTTAGACATTTAACAATTTTGTATTTTTCAAGACTTTTCAGCTGGGTTGCATTTTCAGATAAATATCAGCACTGAACTACAACAAAACAGATTATCTACTGTTTTTCCTTTGGTGGAAGCCAAAAAGGCTGCACAGTATAAACCACAGAGAATTTCTAACTTTATCTCCAAATTTAAAAACAGTCGAGAACTTTCAAACAAGTAAAAACTTTGGGGAAAAGAAAACAGACTCACATGTTTCTAGGGCTCAATCAATTATTTGTTAAATTGAGTGCTGTTTCATCAAAACTAATTCCAAAACATAGTTTAAAACTTTGACTTTACTTCATCATTTAATTAAGCATAACATTAGTTGATTCAATATGTTTCTGATAAAATCAAAGTTCCCATTTATGTCGGAGGGGAATATTCTTAAGAAAATACAGAGTTGTAATCCAATATTGCTTCAGGTTCTTTACAAACAGGCAGGGTGCTTGTAATGTCCTCAATTTGACTAGAAAGTTGAGAGTTTAAAAGAAAATGCATTGGCATGTGGGTGGGGTTTACTGAAGCATCTAATTACATTTGGAAATTGAATACAGGTTCAGGATGAGCCTGGTTAAGCACTTCTTTTAGTTGCATAGAATGACTGACCATATTTTCACAGCTGGAATTTCCTCTTTTTGCAGTAAAATAACCATCTTTTGTTGCATTCCTCTTTTAATAGTCCAGAAGAGTGGCACCACAGAGGAATGTCATATATGAACACTCTACATCTCTTTTACTTCTTAATTCTTCTATATAAGTCATTTTCATCTAACAAACTATCAGTTGGCACAAGTTGTGATTAAGAAATCTTCACATGCTTGGTCATTTTAAGAACATATAAGAACACCTACAATAATTATAAATATCTTGAATGGGGCAACATTTTTATTGATAGTATATGCTACAGAAAAAAAATCAAGTTATATGTAAAATTACATTTTCTATCTAGAGGTTGGACCTGATTACCAAGCAATAGTAGAAGGATGTAGTTAGTATGTAATAACAGCATTCACTAGTAATTATTACATAAATAAAGCATATATACTCTAGAATGGTTCAAGATTTAAATACTGCTAACTTTGATTAAAGAATCTGAGCTACATCCTAAACTAAATCAATATGTTCCATTGATTCCAAGGAAGCTTGGCAGGGTGCACCAGCTGAGGAACTAGCACATTACTTTTATGTCTCTTAGTGCCTTGCTCAATACTTAAAAAAAAATCATCTTCATCTTTCAAGTATATTGGAAGGGATGCCCATTTATACATTAAGAGAATGGTTTCATCCATTGCAATTACAGACCTGCTCTTTTGAATCACATTAAGGAATGAGATAAGTGTGGTTTAAGTGTAAGACACACTAAAAAAATAATTGGGCCCTAAACAATTAAAACAGGAGAATTCTGTCAACTGCATAAGTGTCCTTGCAAAATATTAAAGAAAAAAAGTTCTTGAAGGCTATAAATTTGCTGATAATGGAAAGTTGAACTAGGGCCAATTGATAGAAATAGAGGTCAATGCACCTACTGAAGCCAAATTTACTTAAAGACAGTTTATATTAATGTGTAGAAATCATAGGGTCATAACATGAAAATTCACATGCAAACTTTTCTGAAACAGCCCTCCCTACAAGGGAAAACTTGGAGATGAACATGTAGGGGAATTTCCATTTTCTTTATGTACAATTGCTCAAGCTATACAAATATGCAAGGTCAGCAAGAGTCACAGCTGGTTTCTAATGTAGAAAACAAATTGAACTTCACATTTACTTTTAAATTATGAAAGCAAAAAACAAGTAAATGCCACAATGCTGCCAGAAAATTGCTGCAGTGACAACATCTCTTAAAAGTTTCCTTGTGAAAGCATGAACATTTTATCTATAATTGTGTATAATAAAACTGCAGAAACTTAACATGTGAATAATACCTTTTTTCCTATAAAACCCTGCACCTGCAGAAAATAGCTAAAAGTTCTTGTTTTCAGAAGCATTAATTAACAATATAGACAATGATGTAATTGGACCCCTTAATAATGACATAACTGAAATATTGCAAAGTTCTCTGAATAGAAGTGAAATTTAAGACATGTATCTGCAATAGTTTACCCTTACAGTTTTCTATGTAATTGCAACTATTACATACAGCCATTTTCCGGATCACATAAAATTGCATGTTCAGCAATTTATAAATAATTCTCAGTTCTAAAATAATGTTATTGAAAAGTGCACAATACTCTTCAAACCAGAAGCAGACAATACACAGTAAAATAAAACTAAAAAAATATTTGAAATAGTAATAAAGATTTACCTTCAAGAAATCACAAAAGCAGCACTTAACTAATTGTGTTGAAAGACTGTTGATTTTTTCCATTGCTTCTTAAAAGTGCAAAGTCTGGAAATGAATTTGTTAGCAGTAATGATGAGAAAAAAGAAATCCAGAGAGATGTGAGATGTTGAGAGCAATGTCACATTTCAATATTGAGGACTTTATTCCATTGCGCAGGCTCTATCTGCTCTGATTTTAGCAGTGACAGTGAGATTTAGCAAACAGAAGAGGGATTTAGAGAAAATCCTGACATTTATCTACATTACACAGACACTGTAGACAGGAAACAGCTGGGGGAGCATTTGCCTTCTCTCTCTCTCCCTCTTCTGGCAAAGTTACCGAGTAAGGACTTTTTTGGGCACGGTGACAAATAACATCATACCTTTGCATTTTAAAACTAGAGCACAGAAGCATATTTTTTTCCCTTTAAAAGAATGTGAATTAGTGACTGAGGGGTTAGCAGACAAAAAAGCTTGTGCTGCCATGAAAAATAAGAAAATGTATTCTGGTTAACTTTCAGATAGCTCTGTGTGCATTTGTATTTGTGTGTGTGTGTCTCTGCATTTCAAATATATAAAAACTTATACACGTAAGGGCATTGTTTGTATATATGTGTACCTTTGTATATATGTGCACATTTTATTTATGCATAGAGGCACAGGTATTTTATTTGTATAGTATAGAAAGACAGGCAGTCGGTTATCCGCTTTTTTCTTAATGCATCTTTACGTTATTAAACTTGGCACGCCTACATGCTGAGTAACAATTAAAACCTTCAACTCTCTGTGCTATTAACCCTAAAATAGCAGTTTGTAGTTTGCTAAAAATAACAGAATTGTTGAGCATTACCTGTAAATAGGGCAAAATAGCTTTGTGATCTTTTAGCAACCACACAGGAGAAGTCGTATCATTTCCTAGAATTTACAGTACTATGAATATAGTAACACAAGTAGCCCAGTTTGGGGAGCTTCCATGACATTTATCTTAAATGTGCTGTTGTAATTATAAAGTGATTTTCCCCCTTTTTAGTAGTAATCTTCATAATTACTCTTGATAACAATTTAGATGACACTGGGAAAGAGAAAATTCAACTTTGTTAGTTCTGCAATACCTAACTTTTGCCTTTTTATTTTTCCTCAATTATGAGTATATTATAAATAACACCAGCTGGCCAGCAACATGCTCTCACGGGTTATGATGTCATTCAAATCCCTCAACTGTGTTAGTGGCTTGCAATGTGCTCCAACCCAGCTGTTTTTCTATTTATAATGTATGCTTGCATTTCAATACTTAGCTATTGAGAATAAAGTTGTGATGTTGTTTTATAGATACAATTTGTACTTGTTACCCTTTGGTTTTGGAAGATGGCATTTAAAAGTAGAGGATTAAACGAGACTGCAGCTCCAGAGACCAAACACATGTCACAAACTGCACGATTTTCATAAAAACTGTTTCAGAACATTGTATTTTGTCCCTGTCCCCTTCCACTCAAGTGAGAGTTGCATGCTGAGGTGCTACCTGTACTTTATTATTGAAAATAACAATTGAGATCATGTTGGCCCAGGTCCATTCTCAGTTTTCAGATCCACCTTGAACTATATGGTGCTTGCCAGGCAGAAAGGACATATTTAGTTATTTGTATCCTCTACGAATGGCTAATACTCTGCTCTGTGCTGTATGGTTAGCTAAGCTGATTAATCTTTGGAAGGGATTTCTTCTAATGAAACATAATGGCAGAATCACAAGGGGCTTTGAGGTAAGTTTGTTTAGTTCAGGTAATACCAATATTTCAAGTATTCTAATTCACATTTGTACTGCAGGTACTGTATTTTAATATTCTGTTCTGTTTTATTCTTCCCTCTGCATTTCAGACGTCATTCAGTAGTGACACCATTCTACACATAGCTTGACGTAGCCTGCTGCAACTCATAGCACATGTATCACTTATTTCACCAGCCTAATAGAAGAATGTGGGAAGAGGAATTATCAAAGCTCTGATATTCTTTATTTTTGTCTTTTACAGTACTACAGATGGGTGCACATACTTCTGCCTTTTTCTTCCTAAATAACAGAAGGAATCCACTCATTCATCACTTCCCCACTGCCTGAGCTTCAAACACTCGTTTCACTCCTCACTGCTTGCTTTCTCCTAGGTTTCACCAGGGCTCTCTTGATCATGAGAGCAGCATGCAATAGAAGATGCAACTTTTGGCTTTCAAGGTAGCCAGAGAATTGTGGTGCCTCTGCACAACTGGAAATCTTGTTTCTTTCCATGGAGCCATTCTAAACTCCTATCCTCATTCCACCTGACCAGCCTAAATTTCTGATGCATTTCACTTCTTTCTTTTAGTTCTTGTTTTAAAGTGGTATTGTGACAAGACAGGAAAACAGAATAAATTCAAGAGAGGTTTTTGGCAGTAATTTTTAGACTTACTGTTAGTGCAGTGCTTCTCCTCACTAACAAGTAATTCCACTTTTTTTCTAGAAAATTAAATATTCCTCAGGACATATTGATCTTGAGATCACTACTTTCCTAAAATACAGCTTCTATTCTGGTGATAATATTCTAGTCAATTTAGCAGTCTGTTAACTAATGGAGATTTGTTCATTTCTCCCTTGTTAAATATAATAGCTTTTACTTTATATACCATTTAGAATAAAGTACTGTATGATCACTGCTTTGTGATTGAGTGCTTATACAGTTACATTCACTGCATTGAATAAAATGCGCCTGTAAACTACAGAGTGTATAGTAGTCTTCAAAATACTCACAAAAGATGTCTAGGTCAGAAAAAATTATTTAATTGGAATTTGTATAACTATTCTACATTAAGAAGCAATAGCATATATATCTTTGTTTGGCTTCTTAAGTATAATCTGTAGTGATATAATAGCCACAAAGATACAGGAAATGTATGAGATGAGATAGATAATCAGATATTTAGGAATTTATGTGTTCTGATCCTCATCTTTTTCACTTTAATACTCCTATGATATCACTAACATGCTGTAATACTGTGGAGCTCATGCGCCAGTTCAGGGAGAACTCCATTTTATAGAAGACAGTTAGCAAAACTACAAATAATCAATTATCCTAATTAATATATTATCCCTCCTTAAAACCTTCCTTAAAAGGTAGGAATATTGCCACAATGCCTGAAAAAATCTGAACTATAGTAAGGAAACCGTTATGCCATCCTCTTGCATTCTTCTATATTGGATCACTGTTACCTGTACGCAGTTATTTGCTATCTGTAACTGTTGTTTCTTTTGTTACATTGGGATTATAAGTTTTCTGGAACCAAGATAGAACCACTATAATAGATATCACCTGAGAGGGTGATAGGGCTGAGAGCATGGTGGAAAACAGGATGGAAGAAGAAAATAAACACAGTGGCTGGTGAACAGGTGTTCTTCATTGTATGAAAATAGCAGAGACAAGATTGTCTTTTATTATGTTGTAAGGACATTCATCCTGCACAGAACATATAGAGATGCAGAAAGATTCATACATTGAGCTATATTGAATGCCACTGTTAATGTGTCCCCTGTCCTCTCCACCCCCCACCAAAAAGAAGATGAGCCTTTTGAAGGAATGATGTCTTATCAGTTTTCCCTTAGCTTACTGACTGGTTACTGAATTCAATTCACTGGGCCAATGGAAACTGTATTTTTTGTGTCTTTTTTCTTTTTTTTTTTTAGGTCCCAATCATGATATTAGACATTAAAGATCATTATTTTGCCTAAATCTAGGCATCTAGTATCATTTTTAGTGCTGTGGGATATCCCGCATGCCCCCAGCTTCCACTACAGAGTGATATTTATTTCCCATAAGTCACTGTGCTCTATCTGCTGACCTCATAGAGATTTCTTGCATACTTTAGGGCATCTCAAATGGCCTTCAGCACCTGCAGGTAACTCAACCCCACCATAAGGCCTTCTTCTGGCATGCTGATCTGGGATTCTTGTAAGTGCAGCCTTTGGCCTGAGTATTACCTTTGGCTTCTTCATAAATAGAGTGTGTCATTTACTATATTTGTAATCTTTTTGTGAAGAGGTTTTAAAGTGGAGAACACAAAAATTTTCATTGAATTTCAGCATGATTTAAGTGTATATTTTCCTTATTCTCCTTTGCTTAGCCTCCAGCTTTAGCTCTTTTGGTTTGGAGCTGCTTTTTTTTATTTGCTTCATAAATAATTTTGTTTATTTTTGGATAAGATAAAATGTTATTTACAATGTTAGTATTATTTTCTGAAACACACAAATGATTGTTTAGCTCTTATAGTCTCTAGTAAATTATTTGTAAAATGTTATGTGTTTACTATTAGAGTAGTTTTGCTTTCTTTTCTAGGAAACAACTTTGGAGAAAGGGGTAAAAGGGAGTATTTTATTAATATGGAATGTTGTGTTGAAGTTAGTCATAATTCAAGTATATGGTGGAAAATTCCTTTCATCAAGTTAAAAGTTAGGAAATCAAGAAAGAAGTCATTTTGCTAGAAAAACAAGTAACAAATTTGATGGGGGGGATGAGGGCATGCAATTTGAGCTGTCATTACATTGGCAATATTGAAGAGACACCAAGGAGAGAACAGTGCCATGAAAAGCAGTTTCTTACTTGGGCAAAACAGGGAAAGTGCAAGTTTCATGGTTAAATGAGGATCAAGTAAATTAGAACCTTTCATATTCACTGATCAAGAAACACACGCGTGTTTCAAGAGCAGGATGGATGCATTAGAATCTCAGTCCAGGATTACTGCTTATAGGTAGTAGTGGTAGAAACAATCAGTGTTAATAACAGGTCAGAATTAATCCATGGACTTGTAAACTGAAAGTACTGAGCACTTCACATTGTATGGAGTAAGAATAACTGCTTTGCTAAGACTACAAGAAGGCAAGGACTTTATTGCTTTCAACTAGGATGCAGAGAAAGTGTGTGATTAGAATGTTCTGATGAATAAAATGAAGTACCGTATAATTTTAATTTATAGTACAAGTTAAAGCAGCTACTATTTTGAATATTCTTGTATTAATATGTTTTTTTCCCTAGGTTTTAGAAACAATTGCTGCTAAAAATAATACAAAGCCAAATATTGATCTTATTTTCCTACTCAAATGAAATATACATCAACTATTGGATATATTGTTTTCACAATTTAAATACTTACATTTTTTAAAAATTATAATATATTATGGAAATTACTTATTAATTATTATGAAGTGGCATGAGATGACATGTAGTTATGACTGGCAAAACAAAAATACAAAATATGAAAAACAATACTAAACAAAAA